CATCTTCATCCTCAATATCTTCATCTTCCATAATGGCTTCTCCTTTCGAGTCCCGGAAAGAGACGCATTAGATAGGCAGAACAGAATATAAATTATATTAACTTGCTGAAGACAAATATTACGCATACAAGGAATATAATAATAATAAAATATAACTTCGAAAATTCGTTTTCGATTCTGTACCTTTTCCTGCTCTATAATTTCTTGTTATACATTAACACAAAAAATAATTTTTAAAATTTATGATAATAGATCACAAACATCATGGGTTACGGGTATAGAGAAAGTCAAAACATCTTGCTAAAGAACCGATGCCCTGGAACGATGCCTAACTATTGACTATAAGCATTACAAACATTGTCCGTCAAAACGTCTGCTCTGATAACAGAAAATGTAATTGCTTCCCGTAAAGTAAACAGTTACAGAATCTTCGTTTATTTCTCTTCATAACTGCTGAACTGCAAGTCTTTCGTTTTATTCAACAAATTATATATAACTTTACAAATGGTTCATTTATGTTTCCTGCTAACTGCCCTGGAAACTTGAATCGATGATCACTATGGTGGAAAATATGAAATTGGTGTTCAAGTTCAAAATATGAAATTGGTGAGAGACAGAAAGGCTGAAATGCCAGTAACACGCTGTAGAAATATCTGTAGAAAACTATTCTTAGGACGTCAATGAAATAATGTGTATATCTGGCAGCTATTCAAACAGTAAACATGCATGCCGCAAAAACATGAACCTTGACAAAGAAGGAAATCAATGGGCTGGACGTGTTTGAAAGCCCTTTGGCACAGAACATTCGGACACAGATTAACTGATAAGACCTTAAATTTTGGGTTCTCGAGGATGGTAGAAAAGCAGAAGCATATTACGCTAAACAGCAATTAGCATCACATTTCCCTCTGACGAACCAAAAAACTAAAACTCTCACTTTCTGGCTATGTGTTATGCGAAGAACAAAGAACGACAAGCAAGTGATGAACATCATAATTCGCAGCGTGCCGAACCCTTGCTGGAACAGCTCGAGAAGCAAGTCAATAAACTCCATCACGGATGAACTGACTATGATGAAGCTGAACAGCACTTATCTACAAACTGCAAACCAAACTTGGCAGAGAGATTGGCTTGCAATCACATAGGGCACTGATCAAGACCGAAAGTAATGACAAGAGTACGCTTTGAGACAGCCAGCAAGTCAAATAAGTGAAGTTAACTGTACTGTGAA